AAAAATATATTTATAATTTAAAAAAAATTTTAGTTAATATTTATTAAAATAAATAGCAATCAAAAAAAGACTTAATTTTAATAAATTTCATAATAAAATATAGTAAAATATAATAAAATATAATAAAAATATTATTTTTATTATATTTTATTATAAAATTTATTAAAATTAAGTCTTTTTTGACTAATATTTTATTTAATAAATATCAACTAAAAATTTTTTTAAATTATAAATATATTTTTATAAAATTATTTTTATACTTATTTATAAAAATATTTTTAAATAATTTTTTATAGCATTTTAATTAGAATAATTTTCTAGTCTATCATCTAATATATAATTTCACAAAATATTATTATATTAATATACTTTATAATCTTAAAAAATTTTATTTTTATCTTAAAAAATATAATATCAAATTTTTGTAAATTTTTAGCAATCTCTTATTAAGTTATAGGTGAAAAATATATTCATCATTACTTTTTATACTGATTATAAATAAATACATAATTATAATTTTAATTATAACAAATTATAATTAAATCTTTTTATAATTATATTTTTTTATAATTAATTTTTTTAAGTTTTTTATTTATTAAATAATTATAATTAAAAAATTTTTTATAATTATCTCTTTATAATTATTTAATTTTATTTTTCAAATTATAATTATTATAGAAAGATTTGATTATAAATAATAATATTTTAATATAAATATAATTATTAAATATTAAAATAAATATTATATTCTTATTTAATGATATTTTATAAACTTTGATAATTAGCAAAATATCATTAAAATTATTATAAATCTTTTTGAATTTGATAATAATAAATTTATTAAAATTCTAAATTATAATAAATTATTAATACATAACTAAAAATAATATTTTAATTATTATAATATTGTAATAAATAAAATCTTGCTGGATTGTAACTAATTATAATTTATAAATTTTGAGTTGTAATATTGTAACAAATAGAAATTACCAAGTTGCAATATGTAATCTGACAAATTTCTAAATTTGATATTTTTCAAAAATTATATTAAATCATAAGTATATAAAAAATTTTTATGCAAAAATTTCATATATAACGTATAATATATATTATATTTTTATGAATATAAAATTATATTAAATTTATAATTAAAAAAAAACATAAAGCTATTTTGATTAAAAGAAATACTCTTAAAAATTATTTCTTTTTCGGTTTTTTACAGCTTAAAGGATTTGGTTGTTTCGGACCTTTACGTTTCTTTTTGGTTTTTGGTTTTATGTCAATTTTATTCTTCGCATCAGAATTTGCCATCTTTAAGAAATTTATTTCGTCCGTTGATGGTAAAGTTTTCGCGATTTCAATCTATTTTTTTCAAATATAAATAATAAAATAATTAAAACTTGTAAATTCAAACTTACTATTTCGACTTAATCTTACTTGTTTCGCTTTTTCTAATGTGATATAAGAAGGTGGTTCAAATATCAGTACTGTTCGATTAATATATAATAATGGAACTCCGGGAATTCCACGAAGTCTTTCACGAAGCTTCCGATTTTGCGTGGCAACGCCATATCTATGCTCATTTTCATTGCCTTGAAAAGATTTTAGAAATTAGAACGAGAGAAATCAAACCAAACAAATTAATAGAACTCGAAACCTACCAATTATTGATGCGAGACATTCAGCACTAGATACGGGCGAGCGAAAGTGTGAACACCCTCGTTGTTCCAGCTGACTAAGAAATTGTAGGGCCTGTGAATGCTCATTTTCCCCACTTTGACGCAACTCATTAATGGTACAAAAAGTGTACACTATCGAATGTAAGACGAGGAAAGTCTTGTTATACTCTCTGAGGACAAATAATGACGGGCTTACTTTGCTTTATTGAACCTTGCAATACTTTAGATAGTTGTGCTTCAAGGTTTATCTTATAACCAGTGGCTGTTGTTACAAAGTCACCGTCCACTTTTGAAATTACGTTAAAATGACCTGATTTAGTTTTTATCATTAAGGTAAATTGTGAGTAAAGACAACTTTAAATACAGTACATAATATTTGGTAAGGTTCCCTAAAACCAAAGGAGGTCGAATACAAGGCCATAAGGCGTTTGTATTGCTTTGCACGTTTTTTTCGCATCGCGTCCTTTCAAAAAAATTTCAAACGATAAGAAGTTTCATTAACGTTAATGAATTTGATCTACCTTTTCATCACAAAGTGACGATCCGTGCGTGCATTTATATTCATGAACACAAACTTCGCGTGTCAATAAAGAACAACTTTTGATTCATAATGGATACAGAGGAAGATAATTTTGATCTTTTTGATAAAGGTAAAGCGCCAGAGTTTCAAACTGGAAATTACTCAAGTGACGAAGGTGGCCCTGGAGAAACGAAGGAGAGTAAGGCACCGGCTCCGGTCACTTCAATTTTACCTCTTTCACGGCGAGAAGAAGACCTTGCTAAAAAGGATCGTTCGTTGGCCGAATTTCTCTTAGTTGTCGATGATTTCGAACCTATTGCAAGTATATAATATTATTTGACGATGCTAGTTTGTTTTCTGCAAACAAGTATGCAAGTTTAATTGTACTCTGGTTTTTTTTCAAACAGATTCCTGATGCTGTAACAGAATATTACTTGGCAAGATCAGGATTTGCTTGTGATGATATTCGCGTGTTCGTCTTCAATTCCCTCTTTAAACAATTTTTGGATTTATTTCAAAAATTCGTATATTAATTTTGACTTTTGAAATTTAACATGGATACATAGGAAACGATTAATGGCTTTGGCTGCTCAAAAATTCATTTCAGATATCGCAACTGATGCCTTTCAGTATTGTAAGATTCGTGCACAAAGTAAAAAAGCAATCGGAAAGGTATTATTACAAATCGATCATAATACTAGAGAGATAAAAAAAATTAAGGAATCATATTTGAGTTTTAACCCTATTCTTTCCTTATCTATATATGAAAAGCGTAATAAAACTGTGCTGACTTTGGATGATCTCTCGGCAGCACTTTCTGAATATGGAATTAATATCAAAAAACCGGATTATTATCGTGCCTAATAATCTCTTGATGGCGACGGCGATTACAACGATGGAGAGGATGCATATGACATCCGTATTTGAAAGAACAATCACATTTTTTTAATATATACATCATCGGTGGATACTCCAAAAAAAGGTTCTGACCTAGATAAGAGCTCACACCATTGATGATATTGATCGCAACAATTAGAAGGATATATTTGCATATTATACTGTTATTTTTCGCTTCTGATTCTGATTCCGTGATTTATTTACATAAACATAGAGGATCATAAAGAAGTTGTTTGGAGTTTTAGCAGCAACATTAGAAGCATAGATAATTGTATTATTAGATAAGTGAATATAGAGGAAAACATTTTTTAAGATCTTCAATCTAATTATTATTATTGGCACTTATATCGCAAGAGTATATTTTAATAGAAAATTCGCCAAGAAAGAAAAATAATTGTTGCATAAATTATTAGGATGTTTTAAATGTAATTCATCATCGTTGCAAATCTTTTCTAGCCTGGGAAAAAATAGTGGGTCTATAAAAAGTCATTTTTCCAAGTGAATTATGATCAATTACTATTTTAGATTATTTTAGATTTTCAATATAGGCTTGTCTTATTTTCTAAGCCTTGTATTCTTAAATAAGTCCACTTATCATTAGTCTGCTCTATGCGGGCACATCTTTGTATTGGGGGGGGGGGGAATTTGATGAGAATCTTATATGGGTATCAGCCAAAGTAAGTACAAGATGCAAATAAAACTTCAATCTGATCGTACACAGCCAATCATCTATTCTAAAGATAGAAGGTGTTTTTAATGACTCAGAAATACAGTTGAGTCATCGTCAAAATAAAGTTTAAGCTATTCGTTTTGTACACTGATTGATGATAATACGATAATTGCCCAAGTAATATATAAATTAAATTATCTTTGATTTTTTTAGTAAGAAAAAACCTAAGAAATGGCAGCAAAAGTTTTATCGGCACCCTCACATCCTCAGAATGATAATATCTTTCATGAGAAAACAAATACCAGTACCAATAATAATAATGTTACTAATAATATAGACAATCCCTTTATTCAATCTGAAGAGGATATCCAAGATGAATTTTTAGAAGATTTACGTGTTGTTGGATATGACCCGTTGATACAACCTCAGTTACTTCAAATGGAAATTCCATTGGTAATGTCTCTCGTAAATATTTGAAGATAATGATCTATCTATCGGGATTGATAATTTAGGAAAAAAATTTTTTTTTTCGAAAAAAAAATAAATTTCAATGTAGTCAAAGACTTCTCGTAAAGTTGTATTACTTTCGCGGCAACAAGCCGCAAAGATTCTTAAAGGTTTAGATGATCGTCTCATAGTGATCGTTGGACCATGCTCAATTCATAATGTTGAAGCGGCCAAAGAGTATGGTAATTAATCAATAATTCTTGCTGAATTATCAATGAATTCTAGGAATGACAATATGTGAATAAACTTACCTTCATAATCGATCATTACATTTCTTTTAGCTCTTCGTCTTGAATCTGTCGCATCTCGATTGAAAAATGACTTATTAATCATAATGCGTGCTTACTTCGAGAAACCACGAACTACTGTCGGATGGAAAGGATTAATCAATGATCCCTTTATCGATAGTTCTTTCCAGATCAATAAAGGTTTAAGAATCGCACGAAAACTCTTGTGTGATATTACGGAGTCTGGCTTACCAGTTGGCTGTGAATTACTTGATACAATTTCACCTCAGGTAGAATATAAATCATCCATCATTCAGGAGACACTTACAGTAACATTATAGTATTTACACTTCTTATTTTCTCCAAGTATTTGGCTGATCTTGTTTCTTGGGGTGCAATTGGTGCACGAACAACCGAAAGTCAATTGCACCGAGAATTAGCCTCCGGTGTATCTTTTCCGTACGTATTCTTATTAATTTTCAAGTAAATTTAAAGAATCCACTTAAGCAGTATTATCAATGTTTTATCTAGACTTGGATTCAAAAATGGTACCGATGGAAGTGTTGGAATAGCAATAGATGCAATCAAATCCGCTTCTCATCCACATCACTTTTTGGGTGTCACTAAACAAGGATTGGCAGCGATCACAAAGACCAAAGTGATTATTATGATTATCATTGAATTTCATGTAAAATTTTGCATTGCTTTCATTAATGCTTTATTATATTATCAATTCTTAGGGAAACGACCTCTGCCATATAATTTTGAGGTTTGCACAATTATTTTTTTTTTTTAGAATGACAAGTAATTTTCACTATTCCCTAACGTTACACATACAAATCAAAATAAAATAATAGAGGCAGTAACTCTGGTCCAAACTATAAAAAACAATATATTGAGGCCGCCAAAGAATCTTTACAAAAAGTCAAGTTGCCCGAGCTAATAATGATCGATTGCAGTCATGGCAACAGTAGCAAAAAGCACACCAATCAGCCGATTGTTAATGCTGACATAGTAAGTATTCACGAATTTATATCGTTCCTTGCGTCATTATTTTGATTCGTTAATGACATGAACCAATTTTATCTGTTTTATAATTGATAAGGCAAATCAAGTAGCTTCCGGAGAAGATGCAATCATTGGGGTAATGATTGAATCAAACCTTGTAGAAGGCCGTCAAGACGTTCCTAAGGAAGGTCCTAGCGCTTTGAAGTATGGACAATCTATCACCGATGCATGTGTTAGTTGGGAAGATACTGTACCAATGTTGGAGGAATTAGCTAAGGCGGTCCGAGAAAGAAGAATTCTAAAGGCTAATAATAATCGGCAGGACAATTAATAGTACACGGTAGAAAATTTTTGGATAGAAAAATAGAATTTTTCAGCTATAGATTATCTTGAATTTGGATGATAACCTCCTATCGACGTGATGTGATGATATTACGGTATGATGTTCAGAACAACTAAATGAGTCCTGCAATAAAGATTTTTGAACAGGATCAATAAAAACATTGAAAGAACAAATTTTTGATTTTCATAGTATATTAAAATTTAATCCTAAAACTCGCACAAATCATCCATTGCATTATTCAATTTATATAATAGACCGCTTGCATTTTTATAGCACGAGTGCAATTTATAGGGTCTAGACGTTTTTTTTATGACGATACGATATCCAAAATTAGGAATGGAAGATCACCATGACACGCCAGAAAAAAGATAGAAAATGGTTCATATAGCAGGAAGTTAAGTTGTACCGCTAATGCGGGTGTAACAATTCACTTGCGAAAGGAACTAGTCCTAAAAATGGATGGCGCTCAAGCGTGAAGCCCATATCTCACCATCACGGTTGTGGTTCAAATGACTATTTTTCTTAACATATTGACGATAATAATAATGATCATGGCGTTCGTTGACAAGTTTACTATTAACACAACTTCGACGTTTTCATCTATTTTGGGCTGTATTAAGCGATTAACTAGTGGGAATAGAAAGTGAAGCAAACTGAGATTTCATCAAAGAATCTATCACCATAAATACACAAGCTTTCTTGAAGTAATAACTTAGTAATTCAATAAAGTATAAATAAATCTTGATTTAACGAAGATTCAAAAATTTTATTATAACCCGGCTACCTACGGCGTACTCAGGATGTACTGTTTTTACTAGTTTGCACCTGTTTGTCGAGACAAACCTTAACTTCGGACTATAGCCAGATGATGAGTTATTAGTGATTGTTGATAGAGTATTGCGGCAATTTCAATAAAAATATTGACTATTGACATCACTGGTGACAACGTTCAATTCTTTATTCTATTGGTAATCGATAGTAGTTGATAACAGCATGGGAGTGCAATCTTCCCATATATATTAATTTTCGGCTAGCAGGTAAACTGGAAAGAAAAATTAAACTGTTTAACAATAACATGAGATCATATGTAATGCACATTACATCGTGACATTCACCCTGAAAATATGGTTGAACTATAAAACGACAAAAGTGCATGAGGGAATGTTTAAAAAAAACCAAAATGATAACATCAAAAAATGGGGATGACAATAAGCTTAATAGATATAACAGAAATATCAATCAACATCTAAAGGAAGAAAATCAACTTTAAACTGTTAGGCGCGACCTTCGAAGGTGGAGGTGCCAGATCTAAATTAAATTCTTCGCAAAAAGGAACCATACTCTTAAATAATTGATATCTTATAGTGATAACTGGAATATTAATAACGATGACGGATTATCCATAAGTGACAGATAACCTGATTTATTATCAACATCCGATCAAAACTGTCTGCCTACAAACTAATCGAACTCCGTCGGACAAATAAAGAAACAAGAAGCCTATCAATAATTGATATTAATAATAATAGCAGTAATAGCTATTATTAATGGATTGTATAAATTAGAGGCGGAATGCGTTTCTTAGAAAGAACAAAAATTAAAATGCTGATTCCTCGCTGACAATATTATTCACAAAAAACGATAATTTCGCATTTTCCTCTGTATCAACATACAAAAAAAATAATACACCAATAACTAGCGATATTTATACCGTTGGATTAATTTGGAATGCAAAGCATCTATTTGCTAACCGAATCTGCATTCTTAGGTTGAAAAACTACACTCTGATAATAATCATCGAAACCAGAAACAGAAAACAACGATGTCGGCAATACAATATAGGCGAACTCAATTCATTAATTAACAATTCAACATCACAAGATAGTTGTATAAATATTGAAGTATTAGGTTACTAAATAAGAGAATCTATAATTATAATGATAACTATTGATAACTTGATTTGCAGTTATATTTTACACTACATGACGAAATTGGTAACTAAATATATTTGATATCTATTTCACTAATTAATATGAAATTTTGTTTCAAAAATCAATTCAAATTAATATTACAATAAATTGTCCATTCTTGTAAAGTGCCATAGATGCATTATTATTAAGTGTCGAATTTGTTGTGCTGTTTGTGCAAGCCTATGGTTTTCTTTTAGTTTTTTATGACTTGTATTAATAAGCGAATGACTACAAAATCGACATAAGTACACGGTTATTCATTTTTGCTTGAGTTCATAAAATTTCCAGAGCGATCTTAATCATGTGTTCACACTGTGCCTAAATTTAGCAGGTGTTTGCTTCATATCATCATGTCTAGCACAACCTCTCCTATGAAGTTTATGGCGAAAAGGGTGTTGGAATTCTTTCAATCGTGTTCCCCTCATCTATCAAATCAACCGCCTAATGAAGACAGGTATGTGGATATTATACAGTTTACTCAAGAACAGTCTAGTGTTGACTCGTATGGATTAGCTTTCCTATTCAGATCGGTCGGAAAGTATCACTGGAAAAATACAATACTTTCCTTACAAGCCAAGAGTCTTCTAGTGGCTATAAATTCGAGTGGAACGAAAACGGCGACGTATTCATTGTAGATATGACTTCACCCGAACACGAAGATGCTGTTGCAACTTTGCAAAATTATTTCCAAGTTCCTAATAATAATATCAATGATGGGAGTGAACCAATAATTGTTCGGGGTCAACCACGTAGGAAAATTTATCAGTCTGCTTGATCCTTAGTTTATAATCAACTCGATCAACTTTAAAAAAAAATTATTGCAGTTCATTACTCCCCAACCGTCATTGGATTGAGAATTGCACCAGATGTAGCTGTACATCCAAACACAAATCACGTTCCGAGGCCTCTTCCCGCTGCATCTAACCCCCGACCTGCTGCTTTACATCTTAGACCTCCACCAAGTGATATAAGGGTACTTGAGTTTGAAGCATATTTATGATAACCTGATATTAATATAGTTTATGTAGGGGGGTCCACATGCACGCATAGTATGCGAAGTAGGTGTGCTCCAAACCACCCGTCAATGGGAAGCCAAATGTCGAGGTTGGCTTGCACAACGATATGTGCGATGTGTGTTGGGGATTAAGATTCATAAACAAAGGGATAGTAATAATTCACAAGGATACCTTAATCGTTCGATGACGGTATTTTTTATTTGTTATTTTGCTATCAAACATTTATATTTATATCAAGCTTAATTACACCCTAGGCAAAACTTTGGAGGCAAGATGCACACGACCCGCTGGTTCCAACACTGGTAAATATTGATCCTGGTGTGATATTTTTTTGTGATCATATGCAGAAATTCAGAGTAAATTTTTTTTGCAAATATAATAGTGGGAATTTGGAACACTTTTGAGAGGTACCAATATTCCAACCGCCTGTAATGCACCAAATTTACCCAATTATCGAATTACCATTCCTGTGTCTGACGTGTTCTGGGATCCACCTCTTTCTCGACGAGGGGTTCCGGTCATAACTGGATATACGGTAACGGTTCCACCTGTAGTTACTGCTACTAATTTTACTGTTGATCTTTATGCTATCCAGCAAAAGGTTTTGAAAGCGCAGTAAATAATCACGAAATGATCATGTAACATAATAATGTTACTGGACTTCCAAGACGTCCAAAGTTCCAATGATTTCAATTAAATAATATAATGTTAACTAATGAAAACGCGTGTGTTAACCCAATACATTCAGGCAATCCAAATTAAACATCAAACGTTAATACTTTTGCCACAAACAGATAGTCAAATTCAGTACTTGTATCATATATTATTTTTGATTCAATTTCATTATCAAACATTTTTAATGATATAATGATAGTGATATTAGAATTTGACTTAATCTTCTATTTATGAGAATGAAATTCATAGTTTTAAATAGATAATTCCTATGGAAAATATATCGAATAGAATTTTGATGTCCTTAATTTGACGCAAGAAAGAATGTGTTTCTTCTGTCTGTGTCATTGAAAAACTTTATTGAGTGGTTTGATTGATGATAATCATCCTCATATTGAATAAAGCGTAAGCTATTTTACTTTTCTGAGTTAATTTAATTAATTTTATGTAAAAATATAAAATGCGAATTAAAAGTAGAGTAATAGGTATTATTTTTCGTTCATTCATTGTTCAATGTGGTTGTATGTGTTGTGTGTGTGTGTGTCTGTGTGTATTGCTTATGATTTATGTGGTTTTTTTATACAGAATAATAATGTTAATGATCCTCCGAAGAGTATAAAAGAAAATGGTATATGAAAATCTACATAATTGAAAATTGCAAGTGCCAGATAATATAAAACTAAATTACACTAAATAAGGTTATATTTTATATATTACTCGAAGAATTAACCGTTGTCATTACAGAAAGGCAGATGCAAAAGCAAATTAAAAAAAAAAAAAAAAACGAAGAATGAAAATATTTACAAAAAATAATTATGGAGAAAATAAAATCGAAAAAAGAGAATTATCCATTATTGTTTCCCATTCCAACACCATTCCTGCCACCTCCTTGTTGTTGTTGTTGCGTTTGTTGTCCCCATACTTGTTGAGGAGCACCAGTAACAGCATTTTGTGCATTTTGCTGTTGGTGCGGAATAGTACCTTGTACTACTTGAGTTTGCTGTTGTTGCTGTTGTTGTAAAGTGGCAGTTACATTTTGATTAACTTGTTGATGCTGTAATGTAACTTGTGCAGGTTGTTGCAAAGATCCAGCCACAACTTGAGTCTGCTGCTGATTCTGTGGTACTTGACCCTGTGTGATTAGAGAAAGCCGTGCTTGTTGAGCTCGTAATTGAGTGTAGTATGCTTGAAGATTGACTTGTTGAGCTTGTGTTGCCTGTACTTGAGCTGCCTGTACTTGAGCTTGCACTGCTTGGACCATTGCCTGTTGTGTAGTCATCTGTGGAAATTGCTGTTGAACACGTACAGCAGCGGCTCTTTGTTGTTGCAACATATATGCCTGCATTTGATTAACAATTGGTACAGGTTGTCTACCAGGAACTTGTGGTATTGGATGTACCATATGGACACCCTGTGGTGGTTGTGGTCGGGCATTCATCGGTTGCTATATATTAAAGATACATATTAATTCATTTTATAGAATGATAATTTATGAGAGAGAATTTCCACATACCCTTACATGATGTCCTTGCATAGCAAGAGTTGCCGCTTGACGCGCTTCCAAAATGTTTTGATGGGCCTGCCTTTCTTGCTCACACTTCCTTCGACTTAATTCCAATGGTGAGGGAACTCTTGTTTGTAATGAAGTGGGTTGTTCCTGAACTTTTTTGGGTTGAACTAGCCAAAATTAAGGAAAATTTATCAATAACCAAATTTATGAAATTTTAGAAAATTTATATTTAAATAAAATACTTACGTCGTTTTTGAGCCTCCTCTTGTCTTTTCTTTGCAGCCTTTTTTATTGCTTCCTGAATACTTGAATGTCGTTTATTGTTTTTTATTGGATCAAATTTAGGTGCTTTTTTCAATTGATCCTTTTTTATCTTTAAAGCTGATGATGTTGAACTACTACTTCCTCCACTCACGATAATTCCATCCATAGAATTAACGAGGCCTAATGCGATTTCATCTTCGTCGTCCGAAGTTTTTGTAACACCTTGAATTATAAATCCACTGGTATCTTCTCTCTGTAGCCATCGTTGATGACATTCGTATGGATTCCGTATACATCCAGTTATCGAAGAACGTGACAAATTTATCATTTCGGCAATAAGATTCCAATTGCATTGGTACTCCTTTGCCAGTGACAATAACAAATCGTCGTCCTCCGCTGACCAACTTTGGGTGGGATTTGTAGAAATTTGAGGTGGCTCGGAAACCGTAAATCCGGTGGCAAGTTTTTCATTTGGTTTAGAAAATACTATAGCAATTTGGATATTAATATTAATTTATTATTTACAATCAATCTAATAAATTAATTATAAATCAACTAACTTGGACTTATTAAAGCTTGATCATCAAGGTCATCATTCTTTGATTTTGTTTTTATACGCTTCAAAGATTCATATAATGAATTTCTCCGTTGCATCATTGATTTTCCTACAATAAAAGGATGAGATTAACAATCGATTAATTCAATATGAAAAAAAACAGTTGAAAACTTACTATTATTATATCCTTTCGTTCGACGCACCACTGTTTTCGATATAGGTATTATTCGAGCATATTCAGCTTCATCAATATAGGTATCTTTATCACTCGGTGAGGGTATTCCCCCATAAATGTTACATTCGGGAAGTATTGTCTCCAGGTCGAATGTTTGATTGTCTGGCAGAAAGAAATTTATTTGATTTGTGGGTAAAGAAAAGAAGCGACGTCTCATTTTTTTTGTTATATTATTTGTTGACGTAGTTGATTGATCATTATTGATCAGGTCGTTTTGAGGTCGTATTGAAGAAGTTGTTTCATCATCAACTGACTCAATATCAATCATTATTTCATCATTCGATATATGACCGTTTTGTTGCCATCGATTCTCATCCGGATTATTTTCCTTGATAATCACTTCTTCTATTTCTTCAGTCTTTATTTCTGTTAATTCCATTTTAACTTCTCTCGATTCTTTATAAATATAGAATAAGCACGTGAATAAGAATAACAAGAATATATTCAATAGTGTCATTATGCTAAATAATAATTTCAATTTACCGTCAACCAAACCATTATCAGTATCAATATTCATCGAATTTGACGATACTTCTTTTGATATAACTGGTGCAGGTTTCCGACACTTTACATGAATAATAATTATCATCATCATCAGAAGACATCGCGATTGATTGAATTCAAATTACGACAACAAACTAAAAAAATACCTTCACGCAAACAGTCGATTTATCTTCTGCATCATGCCATTCCATAACCCATTGAGCCATAAGATAGTGTGCTGCTATTTTCCACCTTCTTTCTTCTTTAAAATCAGTTTGCAACCATTTCTGTTAACGAGAGGAAATTATTCATGACTAATTATTCAATATAAATAATTTATTAAAATATTAAATAAATATACCATTTCGGTTAACAAATAATCCCAATGTGTCATTGTTCTTGGCGGTGCTTTATGTTGTTCTATTTGTTTAAAACTCCATAGATTTGCAGCTTTCAACTGTTCAATCTTTTCTGTAACTCTGACATTCTTAATTTCATCTCTTGCAACCTAAAATCACAAAATAAATATATATATTGGTAAGGTATTGATTGATTTATTATGATTTGATTGGTGATATGGTCACGACTTATTACCCTCCAATCTTCGCTTGTTAGCACTTTAATTGGCATTTGAAAGGACTTATAAAGTGGTTGATTTTGAAAATTTGAAATCATCGCGGATCGATCATAACCCCTGGCACGTCCACGAGATAAATTATTTCGATTATCACCATGTTTCGTAGCAGTAATACGTTGTGGTGGATTTTGTTTCTTATTTCCAATATTTAATTTAATTGGAATTTTTATGGTTTGAGATGACGTTGTTGAGGACGACGAAGCAGAAGTTGATAATGATGTTTGAGGGAAGCCATTACGCTATATTATACAAAATTAATTTAATAAATTAAATAAACTAATAAATGAATAATAAGTAGTACAAACCTCTGCATCTTTAAGAATCTCATCGACACTCTTTGGACATATTGCACCGCTAGCAGCACGCGTAACCATTCTTTCGGGAGGTGGAGGAATAATCCGTTTGTGTTTTTTCGTTTGTAAACTTTGTTCGGTTGGCGTTGGTGGTTGAACAGCAGTAGGTGAGAGAATTTGTTGTTGTTGCTGCTGTTGTTGGTTGGATTCAGTTGATGATGCCGTTGATGTCTTGATTATAAGAGATGATCTTTCGACGGTATTATTAACGACGTTGTTATTATTAGTAATAGCAGTAGCACTTTTAGTGATATTATTTTTGTTTTTATTGAAATTAATAATAATAGATGATTTATTATTTTGATTTATTTTATCAATATTTCCGGGGATTTTTATTGATTCACCGATCGAAGGTGATTTCGATGTGGAGGCAACCACGGTAGTGGCAGAATTTGTGGCTAAAGCAGTAGATGCTGTAGTTTCTGTCGATGAATTGTTAGCAGTAACTATAGTAGATATCGTCGATGTGGTTGCTGAAGTAGCAGTGTCGATTACACTACTATCATGTAGAGAGATCAGAAATTAAATTAAATTATATATTAATGATTAATTGCTATCTTTTATTTCCGTTATGCTTCGCACAATAATATATTGAAGATCGAAAGGAAGAATAGGAACAAAATCAAAACTAACCTGAGAGATAGGTTTTCCAGTTTGTGTGTTTGCATAAATGTTTGCAGTGCTTCCTGGTCTACTTTCTCCCAACTTTGAAAAGGTACTAGAAATTCTGGTGTACTAATATCCGATGAATTATTTAAATTATGCACGTAGAAAAGCTCCTTCACCAATGTTTCGTGTATAGCAATAATTTGACTATATAAAACACCAAATTATCAGTAAAAACGAGAAATACCAAGCATATAAAGTAGAGGAAAGTAGAAAAGGCATGGGTAAGAATAGGGTAAAAGAAATTAATTTAATACTAACTTTAACTGGGTTTGTTTGAGCTCTTCTGCCTTATTACGAAGTTCCTGAAGAATGGGCTAAGTAAAGTGTAATTTACACGTTAATAATGGAATATTTTATTGTTTACACGGGTAAAAGCAAAACCACGATGTTGATAATCTTATCACGTGACGTAGTTTGAGAACCAAAAAAGAAAAACACGGGTACGTAGAAAATACTCAAACTTCTATTCTTAAATGAACATGTTAAAAGGAACAGCACAAAAAAAGACAACTCCACTAATTCATTTGAACCTTGTCTTAACCTAATGCTTTGGAATTCAAAGGAATGTATGCTTCACATTAAGAGAAATGACATACCGTTACAGAACCATCACCAATGTCTTTTGTGTCCTTCCCCTGTGATGAATCTGTAACCTTAGAGGCCATAGCATAAAAATATACAAGATTAGAGTGTAATTTAGGGCACACGGCCCCTTGCGCATTGTATGAAGAGTATATTTAGTGGTTCTTCAGAATAGCCGCAAGGATATTTATTTTGATTTTCTATGTCAAGAGGAAATGATGACGTGGGCTTACTGAATATTTTCCAAATGTAGTCAACAATCCGGATACTGTATTATGATTATTATAATTGTTATTATCACTACTAGTATTTGAAGCACGATTTTGATGGGGTAGATGTCGATTAAGTTGATGGTGATGATTATGATGATGATGATTATTATTATTATTATTAGTATTATTATGGTTGTAAGGAGAAAATGATGTGTCTTTTTGGTTTGACATTATTTTTCACCCTTGCGTAGTGGTACAACGAAGAAGCAGACAGCCAGGGTGTATGTTAATTATTGGAAAAGTAAATATTTTATTGATGTTGTTTCGTCTTTTTTTTAAAAAAAAAGCTTTCACTTTCAAGAACCTTTAAAATTTTCGTCCAATAAAAGAAAAAATCATTACTTCCCGCCATTACGTTACCACGATTTGCAAATGTGATAATGTTACACTAGGCGTTTCACATGGTGTCACTTTCTTATTATAATTAAATAACTCTCGACACTGGGTCGAAAAAATTAATTTTGAAAATGCCAGACGACAAGAAACTTCCCTGGGGTATTAATGCTCCCAAACCTGGTTCTGCAAAGGTTTTATTTTTTTTCCTCTACTTGATATCAAAATTTTGAAAGATCTATTTAATACATCTTTTTTACCCATTTAGAGTCTCACAAAGAATAAGCTGCAAGCATTTAGCATCGGAACTCATAAGAAAACACCTTTTCAAAAACATAAAGAAGAATTAGAGTTAAAGAAAAAGGTAGATGCATTTTGATTTCATTATTTTGATTAACAGCAAAGTACTTGTCTTACAATTCACTGACTAAAAATTCGGTAATTTCAGCAAGAATCAGAAGAAGCTGCAAAAGTATATGCTGAATTTGTTGCTTCTTTTGAAAAGGAAGAAGGCTCAGGAAAAACCTTTGTAAAAGGAGAAACTATAGTGCCAAAAGGTTTCACAGCTACTATTTATCTTTAATTTCAGGGTCTTGATTGTATTCAAATATATTTTACTGATTTCCAGCTTTTAAAAGTATTATTCGATCATGAAGCTGCAACAAAAAAAGAACCGGTGGCATCTTCATCTCAGCAGGCAAAAATATACAAACCGCAACCATTCATCCAAGCAACAAAGCCGGTTTTGCCTGAAGTGAAGGTGGAGGAAGAAATGCTTACAGATAAAACCCATGTAGCTATTGATTCAATATTGTCAAATTCTTCTAAAACTTTTACTAAATTTTTGTTTTTCAGGAAGAAGAAGAAGCTAATAAACAGGAAGAGAAATCCAAACGAAAACGTAACCTCGATGCTTTCCTAGAGGAAATAAAGCGGTATTTTGGTTTATTTTTAAAATTTCTTGTGCGTCGAAAAAGTTTTTTTTTAACCATCAAGCTATATTACTTGATAGAGAACAAGAAGAACGTGAAGATAGATTAAGACAAAAGCATGCAAGATTGGCTGGTGCAGGAGTTGCATCAGGTAATCTTCGATGTCAATTTAGTGCGCTATTATTGATGTCAAAAGTTTATTTGAATATTTTTTTATTTTTTATTAGAGGAGGGCGGAGATGAATTTGTTCCTACTTCTCTCACTGTAAAAGCAGGTAAATTTACGCCTGTTATTTATTTCCTGAACAATCAAAAACAATTAATTACATCGCTAAAAAATTTATAGCTTTTGAAGATAGACCAGGATCTCACGATACGGGTGATCCAAATACAACAAATTTGTATGTCGGCAATATTAGCCCAGAGGTAAGTAAACATTAAATTTTTAGATGAAAAAATATAATATAATCATTTATTAAATATAATGTATAGGTTAATGAAGAGATGCTCTGCAAGGAATTTGCTACCTATGGATCAATTGCAAGTGTAAAAATTATGTGGCCTCGTACTCAAGAAGAGAAAGATAGAAATAGAAATTGCGGTTTCGTTAGTTTTATGGATAGAGAATCAGCCGCGCAAGCACTCAAAAATATGGATGGAAAGGAATTACTTGGATATGTTATGCGAGTTGGTTGGGGAAAAGCTGTACCAATTCCACCAAAACCAATATTTGGTATATAATTATTATTATTATTATTATTATTATTGTTCTCTATTTAAAATTTGAGATTTTTTTTCAGTTTTAGCTGAAAATTCCAGACCTCCGCCTAGCGGCATGCCTTTCAATGCTCAAGTCGTACATTCAAAAGTAACAGCAGGTATGTTCTTAATAACCAAATGTTTATCAATTGATGGTCATTTAACATTCTCAACTAATATTAACATATTTGCACCTTGACAGCTACGACTGCCGTAAATATACTTTATTTTTATTTATACTTGTTGAGTCAAATTTTTGTTCTTATTATTTTTAACTATTCTAAAAGCAAGCAGCTAAAGGACCTCGACTTGAGGTACAAGTTACAAAGCCAGAAGATCCACAAGTTGTAAAAATAATACATCGTATGGTTGAACGTGTAGTAAAATACGGTCCTCCATTCGAGGTAACAATCAACATTTAATTTCAATACATGCGATATGCATCCCTAGTTTTCGAAAAATATTATTAATTGAAATTGAGAAAACAGGCTTTGATAATGGATCGAGAATGGAATAATCCCAAATTTGCGTTCTTATTTCAAAACGAAGTAAGTGAAGAAAAAAATGCTAATAAAATAAAGCGGAATGTCCAAATTTAATATTGATTTTGATTTGTAGTCAATTGAACATGTATATTACCGCTGGAAAATATATTCGATTCTTCAAGGCGATCCAAAAAATAAATGGAAAACTGAGGCTTTTCACATGTTTGATGAAGGACCGATATGGGTTCCCCCAGAAATACCATTTGAGGAAGATGTTTGTATTCAATTTAATGTTAGGATTTTTGGAAATTTACATTATTATAAACGCACTGTTTTTTGGGGGGGAGAATAGGCGGGGGATGAACTTCTGGATTCGGATGAAGAAGAAGAACGAGAAAGACTTCGAGTTCCAAAAGGCACTCTTGGACCCAAAGCAAAACATCGCCTAGAAGTTATGCTACGAAAGATAAACTTTGAAAGAGGTGCTATTGCAAAAGCGATGGCATTTTCAATTGATCACTCTGACGCGGCTGAAGAGGTAAGTTGTCATTATTATGTTTAATAATATTTTTCACAATTTGAATAATACATTATCTTTTTAATCTTCAGATTGTAGATATAATATGTAAAACGCTTACTTTAAAGGAAACACCCGTTCCCACTAAAGTTGCACGACTATATCTTGTTTCAGACATATTGCATAACAGCAGTGTATCAGTGCCGAATGCATGGAAATTCAGGACTGGGTCAGTGATTTTGTGTTTGGTGTTGTGTGTGCTAATAACCAATGATTATACAAAAAAACATCGTTATCTTTGCTATTGAATTATGAACAATTCTTGTTTCGGAGACTAAATTCATGAATTGGTGACACAGATTTGAGACTAGGTTACCAGAAATTTTTGAACATTTCAACGAGGCATATAGGTCAATTACGGCAAGGCTGAAAGCAGAGACTTTTAGGGTAAGTCAATACAACTGATATCTTTCGGAGAATTTTGAGCATTCTTGTATGTCTGTCTGCCTAGTTGTCGACCTGGATTTTCTTTCAATCCTCGCGTGCGAAAACACGTATGCTACTTATTATTGGGTATTGAATGTGAGAGATTTTCAATTCATAAGAAAAAAAAAAGTTAAAAAATCAAAGATGGGAAGAAACAGAAATTTTGAAATTATATTTTAAATACATGTTACCCTTTTTTTATTATCGCTCACATTCCGCTTCCGTGGACTTTTGATATACATATTATATATACATATATACGTTAAATTATACACATACAACAGCGTCAGATTACTACTTTACTGAACGTCTGGGAGAATTGGATTGTCTTTCCGCAACCGTACATTGAATCCTTAGAAAATACATTTATGAAGAATACTAAGGAAGGAGAAGCACCAATAACTTCAGATGATGCTATGCAAATAACACAGCCGCCACCATTGGCTATGGAAACGGATGACCTTGAAACAAATAATGGTGATGATGGCACATTAGGGCAACCACAGATGCAAGACATGGCGAATCCTAATGTGACGAATAGATGGAATTATAATATACACCAACATCAAATAAATCAAGAGGCAGAATCCATCAATCAGGCTTCTCAACCCTTATGGCGAAGGAGTCCGACCTCACATTCTACTGCTACAACTACAATCACGACTACAACTACAGTTACTACCCAAGCACGGATAGAAGAAGAGGAAGTGGATGACATTTTTGCATCATGATGATGATGAGAACGATGATGCTAAAAAACTTCGCACTCTTCATTGCGTGAAAAATTTTCTCTTTTGCATTTCGTTTTTTTTCGAATTTCAGTTATCTAGATTTTCCCTAGTGTATTTATTTACGAGGTGAAAATCTCGTGTATAAATTAATTTCGATTTGATGAACAACGAGGCAACGGATATTTCATTTTAATAATCAATGTATTATTTTTTACATACAACTTAATAGATTCCTGGATATTATTTATATTAGTGGTGATTCACAAAAGAAAAAAATCATTAAAGTAAATTGATTTTTACATCGAATTAAATTTGTGCTTAGCTCTCTTCGTCTAAATTACAATCTGAATTACGCATAATATATATATGTATATTAAAAAGCTCATAATTTTACTAAAAATATTTTATGTTAGAACAGATTCGTAGATGTGTTCCAAATTTTTCAAAAACTCACGTACTGCTTCTTTTTTTCCATTTTTGGTTGGTAGTATTATTTCGTGAAAATAGTCTAAAATAATGGTAAAAGACGAAAGACTAATATTCGCGCTATATGGAAGGGATGGTATAATAATATGAGCTGAGAGTAAAGTCAAGTTTATTTAATAAAGTAAATTGAAATAACACACACGAATGTGACATATCTGTTCCTTTGCCCTTATCTTGTGAGGTTGATGATACGAAAAACATTGCCTATTGACAAATATATCAATCAGTCATCTAATTATCATCATTTGCATTTTATTAATCATCTATTTAATAAGAAAGCGCTTACTATCGTTTGCATTAACGGTAGAGAATCCATTATTGGCCATAATCCCAAAGTTATGTCTGTCAATAAAGGATTATCTTTGAATATTTTTTCATGTTGATTTAGAATTGATAGAATTGATTCAGTCTGGCCTTTATGAAGGTTAATCGATTCTGTGCAGATTAAAAAAATTATCGTGTTAAAGAGAAACGTTCTGATTTTTGCTTGTGAATGAACTTTAACTGTATAAATACCTCTCAGTGACATAATAATATCAGCGATGACGTTTTTAAGGTTCAGAATGACAGCATCATCCAACGGACATACAAGCCAGGTCAAGTTGTCGAGAGGCGCTTCCAGCTATGAGAATTTCCATTAGGATCTCTATAAATAAAATTTAATCATGCTCATGTAGAAGAACCAATTTCTTCAAAGAATTGCTACTATCATATCATCTTTTTGTTTCGTAACACGTAGTACTTGTGATGTAACAAGATAAATGGAAATCGTCAAGACACGTAACGTAACTCCTACTACTCACTTGAGCGATTTCCGGATACTTTTCTTGATCAAAGATCGCCTCGATTATCCAATGCCGCCACTTTGAGAAAGCAAGAAGTAATAACCACACTTGTTTACGACGTAATTCATAATCACTTGGCAGACCCTCCAAAAGTAATTCTTTCCGAACAATATTGAGATAAGAGAACGCTTCCGAATCCTGGATCTCATCACATAATATCGAGACCAATTTATCTAATGGTTTAAACACATACTGCAGGAATAACGCCAATGATGAGATAAAAATATCCTATTTTATTAAAAAGAGAGACGATACTAACCAATTCGATAATTCCATTTTCTTTTAAGGTATCCTCGAAGAAACTTTCAATAAAATATCGTGCGAGACGTAAAATACGTAAATCGCGTGTCTCATCTATCAAACTCAACAACACATTGAAACATGTATTAAATATAATAGGAGAAATGCTCATGATTCGAAATAGTTGTGCATCTTTGTAGTAATTTCTGATGATTGGAGGCGATCGGTATTTATTAGACGGAAATAATAATTGTCCAAATAAAGTCAACACCTATGTTAACAAAATATTTAGTTGTTTATATGTCTGATAGATGTCTTAATAAAAAGAAATTACCTCATATTCGACGACAAAAGGAAAATTGTTGCACAGCCTTGTAACGAATCAAAAGGTTAAAAAAAATAGTTACGGCGTGTTTATAAATAATACGATCTACAATTTATATCAAATACCCAATTTTAGAGGATTCACTGAGTTTCTGGTAAAATTCCGGTTTAAAAAAAACCAAATGTTCGACAAAAAAATCCGAGAGTGAGTCAGCAGGATTATTATTAATTGCAGCACGAATAATCCGATCCACTAAATTTGAATGGCTGATATCATTCAAAAGTGGAATACATTGTTCCGATAAATTTTTCAAACAAGATACCTTTATGTTTAAATTTTCAGTGTTAATTAATTCAATACTATGAGAGAAAAAAAAAACAGAGGATGCTCGCTTACAGATGGGCGCACTGAGAAAAGCTCCAAATTATCCAGACATTGCGTTATAGTAGCAACAGATTCCTTTATTAAGTAATTATTTCGTTCTATTGAGCCGGTTTGACAATAATATTCTATCAACTCCACAATATCTTTACTGATATTTACATTTTTGCACTTAGTTATTGAACGAAACGCACGTATACACCAATCAATCGGTCTATTTCAAAATATCACAAGAATAAGTTGAGATTAAGAATAAAAGCAATATTTTATCTCGAAAAATATTCACTTTTTTAACTCTGTCAAGAATTCTGATTCGAGATCAAAAATTTTGACGTATCCTATGATACATTTAACAATCAAATCAAAGGTTTTTGGATGAAGCAAAAGAATTTTATTCGGCTATAAAATTAAATTAGAAATATTTTCAGAACACAAAAAATCTACTCGATGACTTGTGTGAAAATAGTTGATAAAAAAAAAGAATACCACGAATTCCCCCAGTACTCGCACGCCTGGTGAGAACTTCGTTGCACATTCGTGAACATCGGCGCAAGCAGTAATTTGCTAATTTATAAATGTGAAAAAAAAAATGAATCAATGAATCTACAAAAAAAACGTGTGACTGAATAAAAACCTCGAGCAACATTTCCAAAAACTTATTTATTTTATCGACATTTTTCACAATATCCACTGTTTGACAAGTAAATATATTAGGTTTTTCGGAGCAAGAAGCACTGGGATTCCAATTTGACACCAATTCTTGAGTCGAATTCCATTCCATGTGGTCATTTTAAATAGCGCGAAAATTTACGCGTATGCACGGAAAATCTTTTTATTGAAAAGATCAACAATTATAATTTCCCGAAAAATGTCATCATACAGCACATTTGTATAGAGCTGAAGTCCATTATTTTTGCTCGTAAATTTAGTAATGTCCGAGTCTGTACAAAAGACCGAAGATATACCAACCACTACTGATAATACGAATTCTAACACAGATAAATTATCCACCTCGGAAATTACGGTCGAAATAGAATTAAAATCAGACGAAAATAAACCAGAAACTGAAATGGTAAGACAATGCTTCCTTATGAATAGTTGTTAGTAAAGCTGTTCTGTGCGTTTACTCACATACTTAACTATAGGAATCAAGAGCAAATCTCCTTTCTAGCGCTTCACCCTTCGCGGGAGTTGAAGGAGACATTGAGTCAGATTCTATAGGAGGAACACGATCCAATTCGGCTTTTATTGACAACAACCAAAATAACCAGAATATTTGGCAAAAATCTAGGTACAAAATAGCAGGACTAAAAGAATTTGCATTCTCTTTCGATAGATAGCTCCCGAGTTAGCATTTTTATTACAATAAACACAATTGAAAGAATTAAAAGGCTTTTTTTAATAGTCATCCTGTGGCTTTAACCTTCCACCTGCTTTTTCGGACCGCAGCTCTATTGGTTTATTTGATCGGTACCCTCTTTACGGATAATTTTCCTTTTATCTTTATTTCATGTGTTCTGTTATTAGCATTTGATTTTTGGACGGTGAAGAATGTTACTGGACGTTTATTGGTTGGTTTGAGGTGGTGGAATGAAATTCAAGAAGACGGTTCAAATATGTGGATGTTCGAAAGTAGAGATGTAAGTCGAATTTTGTTATTTGTCACTATTTGTTATATATATGTGTGTGTGTGTGCGTGTGCTTACTTACTCTTATTTTCGAATATGCGGAAAAAGCCTTCACGTCCAGTCAATCAGACAGATTCTCGTATATTTTGGATTTCTTTATATGTGACATTTGTAGTGTGGGCGATTTGCGGGATTATTGTACTTTTTCATCCACAATGGCTATTAATAGTTGCAGTGGCATTAGTTTTGAATTTCGCGAATGTATTGGGCTACACGCAATGTGACAAAGACGCAAAGAAAAAATGGGCAACTGGATTTGCTGCGCGTGCAGCCACCGGAAATGCTGGTTTGGCTGGAAAATTATTCTCGGCTAGTTTCGGGAAAATATTTGGATGATTCATGCATGCAAAATATTTATTGTCATGGGTATATTATTATTACTCTGATGATTAGATGTAATGATTTATTTTAATACTTGTACAATTTTACCAAAATAATTAATTCATTATTTTTTTTAAAAGTATCCCAGAATTTAATAGAGATAATAATTGAATAGTTTTTAATTCTCATCATATTTTGTTCTAATATACTTTTTTGCTGTATATTCGCACAAATTTCAGTTTTTGAATTGAGAAATCTTTTAAAAAACCAAAAATGCTCGTACATTAATAATAAACAAGTGATACTTTTCATCTGCAAGCTTAGATTAGATTAGAAAGCTCACAGATTATTTATTATTTGCTGTACAAGAATCGGAACTGTTGAATAATATTTTTCTTTAATCATGCTCTTCTTCTGTCGTGCCAGGACATTGATTGGTCATTTCTTCAAAATTAGAGTACTCGTGACCACACCAAAAACAATAAAAATACTGATCACGAAGATAAGCAAGAATACGTTCGAATTTTTCCGAATTCTAAAAATATTTTTATTGTGAATAACTTTGATTTATTATTAAAGGAATAAATTAAAAAATTATACTTACCTCAAGCAAATCAAATTCTGATTTGATTTTTTGCTCATCTTCATCTGAAGCCTATTTTTAATATTGATGAGAAGGTTTTAATTCATTATGGAACTCTATCTGAAATAACTGTTGTACAACCTCATGCAATTGGGATTCCTCAAGTTCTACTTTGATGGCTTGTTCATCTTCATCTGAAAATTGATCGAGCTCTTTGGTCGAGCTCTCCTCTTCATCACGCAACCAAAAAACATTGTGCTATAAAAAATAAATGATTGAGTTATATACATGCTCAACCAGATCATAAATAAGATGATTACGGTTATAGCATTCCCCTCACCTCTATTCCCTATAAAAAAAAATATTAGTGATGATGATTAATGATGATAATGAATAATAACGAGAAAAATGTTAAGATATCATTAATTACCCTTTTCAAATCTAATGTCTCGCATATTCGTTGAATAGCTCTTAATTGTTTTTCAACACGTTTTGCAAGCCTCTCCTCACGTAAACGTTCGACATATTCGTCCTCTTTTATTTTCGCACGTTTTACATTTTCTTCTAAATTACTCAATTTACGTTTCTTCATCTCTGTTGACATTCCTAAACCCAAACGGTCTTAAAATGCAATAATTATGATTTGAGCAACTCTCTTGATAAAATATATTTACCTTCGAAAGTAAACGTGAAATACCCTGTTTGATTTCTACCGTTATTGGTTCGCTTAATAATGCCTGAGAACTTTCATTTTTTCCCAATCTCATGCCCTTTTCGTAACCCATCTTTTTCAGCAATTTTAAGCCAGGCGAGGAGGCATTTTCTTCAGTGTCAATGGGTTTACCGAGTCCTTCGTCACGAAGCTCCTTCTCTAAGACTTTGCGAGGTTTATTGTAACCTAAATTCGCAAGTTGTTTTTGACGTCTCCTCTCGGAATAGGTCTCTGGTTTCTTTTCATCCGCAACTTCCGAAATGAATTCAGAAGACATGTAATCGTCTAGATCTGAATTTGACATTGTTGCATCGTGAATTTTGTTCAAACAGAAGATAATTCCCACATGAATGTTCTCGTGTAACATACGTTTCAATTAAGCAATTTAATTTTTTTCTTTTTGGTTAAATAATTATAATGGCATCTTCTGATAAGAGTGATAAGAAATGTACAGTCGTTGACGAAGACGACGATCTTGACAATTTACTTGATGGTAATAGAACACATTCTTGCTACACTTTTGAAGAGTCAAAGACTTATAACAACTTTGTTTCTTTTAGACGTTTTGGATAATTTTTCAAACGTTACTGTTTCAAGTTCCGCCAAGACAAACATTCTAAATGGTGGTTCGGCAAGTAATGCTCCGACAAACAATGCCCCAACAAATAATGCCTCCTTATCTTCACCTGAGCTAGAGGACTCGTCAAATGGACTTGGCCTTGAAGACGAAGAATACGCTCAACAATTCACAGCTGAAATGGAAGCACTTGTCAAGAAGCTTGGAGACCCCGAAGAATTAAGGCAAACTTTTGAAGCTTTCTTAAAAAATGATTACACGGAATCGACGGAGACGACTGGTGGTGTTAATAGCAGCGGTAACACCAAAAAATCATTTCAAGAAACGATTAATCAAACCTTAAATAAATTACAGAAAAGTTCAGATCAAGTTGATGTAGGTCATACCGCCAACACGATTATTTTCCAATTTCAGCTAATTAAGTGCTTGAAATTATTTTGACAGGCTGAAGTCTCTGAAGAAGATGCCAATGAAGAATTTCTTGCCGAGATGATGAGGCAAATGGAGGGATTACCATACAACGGTGATATTCAAGATATGTTCGAGAAGGTGATGGAACAACTCACCTCAAAGGATATCCTTTATGAACCTATGAAACATATAGCGACGAAGGTATGATAGTCTTGTGTTTCATTACGTTTCGATCAAAGGAATCATTGCTTTCTAAAATTAACGGACAAAGGTGTCTTCCATGCACCCTTTCACTTATGTCTTGGCGGCGCTATTAATATTAAGTACCCGGAGTGGCTCAAGGACAATAAAGACAAAATATCACAGGAGGAATACGAGCGGTATAAGAGGCAGTCGGACTACATACAGAAGATTGCCGCGTACTTCGAAGCGCCAGATTATGATGAAAAAAACGAGCAACAAAACAAGGAGTTAGTGGATTTAATGCAAAAAGTAAATTAGCTAATTCTTTTAATTAGCAACACGTTAAATTTCGTGATACAGAAAAGATGACTTAACCTCTTAATTTTTAGCTTCAAGATTTCGGTCAACCGCCTGCTGGAGTTCTTGCAGATCTGGCACCGGATATGGAATTGGATGAACAAGGGCTTCCAAAATTTCTGTCTGCAGATTCGGATAAATGCAGCATTATGTAGAGAAACAAATATTGAACATTATTCTAATATAGGATTCTCTGTTGAGTTTGATTTGTTTGGAAAAAAAAATGAAAATGCATCATAATACATGTGTTTTTATTACTTTGACGTGTTTAAGAACTTTATTTCAACGGAAACAAAGAAAATACACGGTCATGCTTTTTTATAGCAGAGACTAATTAAACTCACGGTATAATGGATAATATCCAAAACTGGCTATAATAAAAATCTGCTCGATATGGAAGATTTACCAATAAACTCCCGATAGTGAATTTTTGAAAATTTTTTTACTAATGGATATTTTTGATACATTATAATGTGTACATTCAAACAATGAGAAGATAATATCGCTTTCAAAAAGGATGGGAAACATGTGGTGATGTAACATCCCAACTAGTCAATAAAGATGTGTACGTATTTGATGTGCGAAAGTAAATACTACCCAACATCTCGAAAACTCTTGAGAACGGGCCCTGTACTTTAGCCGATGAATGATCAAATAAAGATGATTTTGCCAAACAGAAATTTAGCAAAACTTTTCTATCGTCATTCTTGTTCTTAATCTCGCCACGATTATCCAAAATATTTAGAAAGTTTTTTTCAAAGAGTTTTCTCTACTTTGGATATCTTTTGGCATTAAATCCCTCAACTTGTGTGTCTATTAGATAAATAAATAGAAAAATTTAATTGCCAAAAATAATACCCACAAACTTAAAAGCGCGACAAGTAACAAAAAACTTCTACTTTATTCACATATTATATTAAATGTCTATATGCATGTTTAATTCTTCGTTCGATATATGTTATATGGATTCGAAAATGTCCTTTATTCATACTTAAAGTAATATCGTTTTACAAGTGCCCACGTCCCTGCCGCGCTAGCACAGATTAGAGATGCTGCTGATGCAGCTCTTATACCAGCTGGAAGCATAAATCATAAAGAGAGGTTCAGTCAGATAAGGAATTCCTTAAATCAGAACATAATTTTCTCTACCTGTTGATTTAAACAAAGCTCCAATCAAAGCACCTGAACCAATTTCATTCAAAGTGTCTCGTTTCCCTCTCGCATTTCCCATGATTCCATTAATTGTATTATAACCCATCGCTGAAAATACAAAGAAAGTTATCGAGAACGTCAAAAAAGTTAAACGCATGATTTGATTGAACAGTTTTCTACCTAATACGCCACATGAATTCCCAACAAACGGCCCACGTCTGGTAACAGCATTTAATATTGTATTAAGACGAAGCTTAAAATTTGGACTGTGACCACGGAAACCTTCCATTAAACCCCAAGCACCACCAAATGATAAACCTAAATATGGCAAATATATGGTCTCATCAAGTAAAAGTCAAATAACGCGCGTAAATCAAAGAATTAGAACACATGCCAGTCAAATATGTGGTTCCTGTTCCATAACATAGATCATCTAATATTCCTCTACTTGGAATTGCCCCCCGCGTGACTTGGTGCTCTTCAAGTGGCAAGAATTCTAAACCACCTCCGAGACCGGCCATTTCTCTTAGTCGAGCGGACCCTAGATTCACATTACCCAGAAAGTCTGATACAGAACCAGGATCTGAGTCAATATTGATTGTATATTTAGGTTCTTGAAACAGACGTTTCTCTGATTCTGTTGAGCGATCTGGTGTGAATGACATTTTGTATACGTACGAACGAAAATTTCACTGATACAGTAAAATGTAAAAAATGTAAATGGGCAAAAGAAAAAAATTAAAAAAATTTGGTCAACCAATCACAAAGTGCTTCACCGAATTTGGAAAGATATTAGCAAAAAATATATCGATTATATCGATATCAATATTGACAAATATGAGACCAGCCAGAAAACAAGTAATTAAATTATACATTTCATTTTTTGCTAACTAATATGAATCTTCGCATTTCTCTTTCTCACACAACATATGCAATTTATTTTATAATTTATAGGTGGACGAATCCATTCTAAAAGAAGGTCCGAATAGAGGCCCGCCCATAGATCGTTCAGGCACTTATTACAACATTTGGTACAATAAATGGACTGGCAGCGATAAAATCCCTAGGTTAGAGAAAACGGCTACTTTATTAATGGATGAAATTAGAGTCTAATTCGAAGATAATTGAAAATCTAGGGGGGAAAAAGCTAAAACAAGGTGTAATGCTGAGTTAGACGTGGGTGAAACAAAAGGTGATAAAATGTCGAATGCATATTTCTGCTTGTTCTTTGCTAGAGGCTGCTGTCCATTCGGGTAAAAATTCAACATTGGATTAGTAATGTTACTCGAGGAGTATCAGATGATATAATTTGTTAATTCTCTTGTAGATATGAATGTAATTATTTGCATCGTATACCTGATGAGTCTGATCCCGTTGATTCAACAATTGACGCGTTTGGTCGTGATAAATTTAATGAGTATCGTGAGGATATGGGTGGCGTGGGTTCGTTTAATCGGGAAAATCGGACACTTTATGTTGGTCACATTTACATAAAGCCAGAGATGGAGGTATAAGAACAAAACACCATCATATTGAATTTATTTGAAGTGTAGTAAAACTTTTAACTTTTAGGAAACTGTACGTAAACATTTCGGTGAATGGGGCGAAATAGAGAAAAGTAAGTAGAAATGAAAACTTGCCCCCAAGTCTAATGTTGATTAAAGTGTCTTTCGTTGAATCTGATATTCTTTATTATCAGTAAAGATATTGAAAGATAAAGGAGTCGCTTTTGTTACTTATAAAAGTTCACTTAATGCGGAATTTGCCAAAGAAGCCATGAGCAACCAAAGCCTGGATAGTAATGAGGTATTTAATTCTCCATGAAAAAATATTGTGTTACTCTTGGTTATTTGCCATTTAATGATTATTAATATTATGCATGTTAGGTGCTCAATGTGAGGTAAGTTCAGATCCGATGATAAGATTAGGTGAATTATTGATTCTAACTCATCTTTTCATTTTTTATTTTCTAGATGGGCAACAGATGATCCAAATCCTAAGGCTAAAGAAGAATATAAACGAAAAGCAGAAGCATTGGCTGCACAGGCTATACAAAAGCATTTACCGGCAGAATTTACATTAAATAATGCTGATTATGAGTATAAGCGTCCTCGATTAACTGAAAATTCTGATGAAACTACCCAGGAGCTTGAAAATCATCAATCTTCTCAGGGCTTACCTGAACAACCAATGGTAAACACAGAGGAATCATCAATGATACCCGATCAAACTCCTTTCATCTATACTACTATGTCTAAGAAAGGAGGAATTCTTTCCGAAGAGACTTTACAAACTTTGAAATCTTTATCAATGATTAATCGATCTATGACTGTCCAATCTCAACAACTGGCACAAAAACCAGAAACCAATAAAAGTGCACTGGGGGGATTAGCAGATTATGAAAGTGATGAAGAGGTTGAAATTGAATCAGAAGCTATCGAGAACAAAGAAGTAAGCACTTTAGCTGATCAAAAGAAACCAGAAGAGAAAATCTCAGCTGAATTTAACAAGAATTCAGACAACGATAATAATAACAACGGCAACAATAACAACAATAATGATGACGATAATAACAACAGCAGCCATAATACTAACAATGATATTAACAATAAGGATAAGAATGATGATAATGTTGTCATAAAAACGATAGACACTCAACCGAAAGATGAATCGGTTGAGGGTCAAGTTAAAACAGAAATTCCATTAAAAGATGAACCAACTGAGAATGAAGTCAAAACAGAAATTCCATTAAATGTAAAAACCAAGACGACAAAGAAAAAGACCACTACGCCTGTGAATGTGGTTAGACGTAGTACTAGAAAAACTCGAAAAAATTAAAAATGATATTTATTCTATAATCCATATCTATATGTATAATAATCTCTTTTGTTTTATGATTAGTTTTTTTTTTTTAATAAAGGTACGGATGCTAAAATTTCAATATGTTAGATTGTATAATAGTTAAAGCTTGTTACATTATATATTAAAAAGTCACGTTAGAAATTTAATCAGTATCTCCCTTCAACCTCACGATGAATCACATTTCATTATTGCCACCTTCTCCAAATTGGAATGCCTCAAAAGCTTGTTCGCTTTCCGAACAAGCAAATATATTCGTCTATGCTACTAATGAACTATTAATATTGCTGAATTTGCAAACTCTAAAATATATTGGGTATCTAAAAGGCCATTCTGAAAGAGTAAACGCGTTAGAAACCTGTGATACATTATGTGTATCCGGAAGTAATGATAAGTCGGTCCGATGTTGGGATATGCTTGCTCGGAAAGAAACCGCGATATTAGAAGGCCATAAGGCATCGATTTTCTCTTTAGATCTTTAAATTGATTTAAAGGATTCATATTTTAATTTAATTGATCGCGATATTAGAGCGAAGTGATGTCTGTTGCGTGGATGACCAACAAAAAACTGATTGTATCAGGTCTGAATGAAAATTACAAGTTCAATGATGTTTGCATTTTGAATTAAAAATTTACTTTTGTTATAGGCGACAAATCTGGCGAAATTATAGCATGGAATCCCAAAGCTAATCAGAAAGCAAAATTTTCATTTCTAAAATCTCCCATCTATTGTATTTCATCTTCCCCTACTCGTGATAATATTCTGGCTTTTGGGTAGGATTGATTTATTTATTTATATGTCCTATGTGGGATCCTCTATATGTTCTAACTAATTGCATTAATTGATATTTACAGGTTTCAAAATGGAAGTATTCTAATTGTAATGATCACACCTGATTTTCAACGAGAAATTGTCCATAATCTACAAGGACATGATCAAGAAATTCATGGATTGTCTTGGCAAGATTCTTCAGGTAATAATAGTTATATAACACGTTTCACTAGATCTGTGTAAGTTATTTGATCATACCATTGTAATTGTATTAAAAAGGTGTTGATCCGAATAATCAGTATACTCTGCTCGCTTCTGGTTCTCGAGATAAGACAATCAAAATTTGGAATGTGTCCGAGGAAAAAGCGATAAAAACTATCTCATTACCACAACCTACGCAAAAACTAACTGAACAACAAAAGAGTAGACTATGGCTCGCTCTGAGCTGGGTACCTGGTGCAAATAAAATAATCACGAGCTCATTTATGTAAAAAATAGCAATAAGACTTGAAAGCAATTTATTTACCATAATCGACTAATCACCTAATTGTTGATAAATAAATGACAGGGGAAACTTGATGATTTGGGATCTTGATGCACATAATCCCCAATATCGATGGTTCGCAAAAGGTCATAGCCGAAGTGTTTTCTCTATAATAACCTCTTCAGATGGAATGCAAGCAATAACAATATCAATGGACAGACAGGTTGATTAAATTTCTGTTCTATTCATCATTGCAATTAAAGATTGACAAATAATATCATTAACTTTTAAAAGATAATAAAATGGAGCATAGGAGAACTGCGTCCTCGATTAATATTGCCTTGTCTTTGCCTTGGAGTGCATAGCTTGGACATTTCTCATCCTGATCCATCAAAATTAGCAATTGGACTCGGTGATAGTACAATTCGGATTTGGAATTTCGGGAATCCTGAAAATCCATTTGACTCAAGTTTATTATGGAAAGGCTTAAAAAGTCAAGTAACATGTGTGAGTATTTTAATTTTTTTGCCTCAAATCTAGTGTTTAAATTAAATAAACCTTCGTATTTTAGCTTAAATGGCATCCGACCCAAGAAGGAAATCTTGCTTTTGGAAATGGATTAGGAATCTTAGGGCTTATGGACGTTTATACTGAACGCTGTAAAAGTTTTCAATCACATCACAAAGGCAAAGTTTATGCGCTTGATTGGTGTCAAAAGCGATGTTTGAATATTAAGGAAAAAAATGAAGAGAACGAGAAGGGCATGTTCTTATTTAGCTGTGGTGCTGAAGGAATAGTTTATATTAATGATACACAGAAACTCGATAAAGCTTCAATAAATATAAATCAATTAATTGAGAATGGAAATGTTGAATGGATGGAAAAAATTAAGGTTTATATTTAATTAACACAAAAACTCTGAATTCATCTATTTGACAAGATTTCCTTTGTCAAATCTATATAGAGTGATTCTAAGTCCTTCCCTCATCGAACTGAAGTTGCGGTCCACCCTAACGGTATATTTGTAGCAATAGGAAATAAAGATGGTTCAATTGAAGTATTTGAATTACCCTCTTTCAAAATCGTTTATCATTTTAACGGGCATCATGGAATAATAAATCGGCTTAAATGGCATGATGCAGGCTAGTACAGAAAGCTTCCGGTTGATTTCTCGTAATGTCAATATTGAAACTTGCCATTTTTAAAATTAAACAAAACAGAATATCTGCTGGCTTCAGGCTCTAATGATTGTAAGGTTATGATTCATGACTTAAATGATACGAGTAAATTGGCTTCGACAGGTTAATATATCTTGTTTCTCCAATTAACTATTCATCCATATAATAACAATATTTATTTATTTTAGTGAATATTCCCACATCAAATTGTATGAAAGTTTTCAGTAAACATACGAATGGAATCTCAGATTTAGCATGGTGTCCAGTTGACAAAAATAGACTTGTATCGTCTTCTTTTGACAAGACAGCCATTGTAAGAATACCTTTCTATATGAGATTTTTGTAGTGATTATTATTTAACGCTTTATCTTTTGCCATTGAAGGTATGGGATGTATCCAAAGGGATTCCTTTATCACTTTTTCGCGGACATGAAGGTCGATTATTGAGCACCGTATGGAGCTTAATAGATGCTGATTTAGTATTTACTGGTGGTGACGATCAAATGTGCTTTGCGTGGAGGCCATCAGAGCATCAGTATGACGAAGAAGCAGGCAAGAATATTTACATCTACTCACATTCACAATATTCTAATAATAAAAGTTCTTAATTTAATAGAAGCTGTTTTAAGATTGTCCAAAAATAAAAACAAAATCCAAGAAGAATCAATCACAAAAGAAGTGATAACACAACCCGTTGAAGAATCTACAGTAGTAGGTGATGCCAAAGTATCTGAAGCTGTATCCCGAAAACATGGCCGATCCACCAAAAAGCAAAAACACAAAAATTTCTTCCCGCTAAGCAGTCAACCAGTCGCACGACAGACTCTTCAGAATGATACATTTCAACTTGCCAAAAAAATTTATGGTGGCAATTGGGATGCCGCGATGGAATTTTGGAATGAGGGTGTGCCAAAAAATAAAAAGGCCGCTGAGATAAAAGATTTTTCTCCTTCGATGTTGAGTAAGTCTCTTTTCGGGGAAAGGAAAGAAGTTCGAGAAGTCATAAAGTCTGAAGGTAATTTAATGATATATATATATATTTATTACCATATCCAAGCTTATTAATATTAATCCTATATTATAGTTAACGTTCATAATATCAACAATACAACTGCCACTATGGGTGGTTTGGAGAGCATTAACGTTAGCTTGCCATTGAATATCTGGACAAATAATTTACAGGAAATAATTGATTGCAATGAAAGCAAAGAGGAATTGACAGATCAAGATTGGCTGATATTGGCGTTGAGTCCTTCAGGTAATTAGTATTTGTACGTTTGTATAATTTAATTAATATATTTTCTCGCTAAAATTTTAATTTTAAAACTAGCTGGACGAGATGTTTGGGAATCATTAATACGTAGACAAGCGCAAAAGTTAATGAGGAAAAACGATTTTTATTCAGCCGCAATGTGCTTTTTAGCCTGTGGAGACGTGTATGAAGCTATAGATGCACATCGTCACGGTAAAATGTTTCGGTAAATAATACTTGAATGTTCTATTAGGGGAACTTTTGGCAAAAGCACACTTATAATCATGTCATAATACAGAGAAGCAATTATGCTTGCAAGAATTCGAATCCCACTCGATGACCCTGTTCTCTCGGATCTGTATTCGGAATGGGCGGTACAACTTGAAAGTCAAAACCGTTACGAAGAAGCAGCCATGTGGTAAAGTCTGATAACATTTGGTTTATTTAAAGCTTATTAAATTTTTTAATTATTTTTTTTTCCTAGTCATCTCTCTTCACAAAAACCCGCTGCAGTACAACATGCACTAAATGATCTAGCTCGTCAAGGAGATCCTTCATCACTTCGCGCTTCTGCATGCTTAGCCATACTCCTTGATGATCCCTCTGCCAACGAGAGGATCTCGAGATATAAAGAAGATTATGAAAGTCGCGCTAATACATCAAACACAGTTGAGGGTACTGAAATAGCTGAGGTTGTATCAGCTCCAAATACAGCTGAGAATGAGGAGACAATCAATAATCTTGAATGAATCAATTGAATAACAATGCGTATGATAAGAAATTAATTGTAAAAAATTTCTTAAGAATATCAATTTGTAGGCATGAGATAGGTTGATTTTCTCGCACGAATTCAGTCAAATAATATGATTAAATAAGACTCTTGATATTTAAAGAATAACTTGAGTTCATTTAATAACAAATTTATTGATCTCTTAAACTTTTTATAGTAAAACTGACTGCATAGCCAGGATTGATGTTATTTGAACCAATTATAATTTTTAATTTAAAATTTCAATTGCATTTTTTATGTTCTAGCTATTTTTGTAAGATACGTTACTAATACTCACATTAATGATTTTTTTCGAAATAATTGCTATTATCAAAGCAATTTTTGTTTTATTTCTGTAAATCTTTTAGCTATTTTTTATTATGCTATTCAATTGATTAAGATATCTTAGTAACGCGTCACGCAAATCCTCTTTTTTTGCTGGTTTTGAGACAAAATCATTCATCCCTGATTCTATACAACGTAACCGGTCGTGCCATAATGCATTTGCTATTAATTAAAAATAAAAATTAAATAAGAAAGTCGAGTTCTCAATTGATTATATATTGGTAAAAAACTGGTTTCTATAATGTACCTGTAAGTGCTATAATCCAAGGTCGCCTCATATCTCGACATATATTTCGAATATGCTCTGTCGTTTGGCATCTATAAAAACATATAATGTATTTGGTTATCGTAATGAAGTTTACAAATCATACGCATATAATAAATAAATACACACCCATCCATGTCAGCCATACTTATATCCATAAAAATAACATCATACTCCTTCTTCTCACATTTCCGAATAGCAGTCTTTCCATCACCAGCAATATCACATGCTTGATTAAGTCTGCCCAGTATCCTCGAGGTGACCATCTGATTTATCGAATTGTCTTCCACAATAAGAATATCCATCTTTGGCAGTTCGCCATCCAAGATTGTCTCCCCGTTTACGTTTGTACATGCTGTCACACCTACAATTCCATTATTTGATGTTGTAGCATAACCATTGTCATCACTATTTTTCTTATGCTCATCATTTATTTTGATTATGGGAAAAGGATTAATCAATTTCTGACTAAAATTAGATGGCTGCTTGCTTCCTCCATTACTCCCAAAAGGATTATTTCCAATCTCATTTGGTATTGTGATAGGTGAAGGTACTCGCTGTAACCGATTATTATATCCGCCAGCGATCGATGCAAAAGCATTATTGCTATTTTCCATCGTCCCAGAAGATGTAGCATTATTATTAATAGCAGCACAATTTGTAATTGTTTTTTTTGGAATTGGAGCAGTATTGTGTCTTCGTTTAAAATGTCCTCCATTAAAATCTAAAATTCTATCCGCATTAAACTCATCCGATGCAGATTTATTACGTCGATGTTTAATAACCCTTAAATTCTTGGAGAATTTAGTTGAATCTCCAGAATTAATTAAATTCATTCCTTCGTCATCAGAAACGTTGCGATTTATTATTCCATTTTCAATTTTCCTAAATTCTACCATATTATTACTAATGCTGCTACGTCTAGCATGATTACCTTTAAATGGATTGGAATCTCGATAATTATAACATCCATTTAATAAATTATCCGAACCATTAATTCCCATAATGTTATTTATAGTTGTAGTAGTTGATGAATAATCTTCCATTGTTAAAGATATAGTAGCAGGGACATTATCCATATAACCATTATTCAATTCCCACTTCAAAAATTTGAGCATTGTCTTAAATTTGACAGGTAACGAGGAATATATTATATTCCTACCATCAATTTTCAATGCTCGCGATGCTCGTTGTAACGAAGGGTTTACAGATATCATAATTGGTACATCTACCCATTGTTCAATAATTCCTTGTTTAAAACTATCCACTTCGCGATTCTCTATTAATAATTCTAAATCGATAATTAGCGCATCCATCTGCTTTTTTTCGCGACTTTCTATCACATCTTTGAGACTACCAAAAAATCGGGCAGGTTTCTCAACGCCACATTGTCGTAACAATTGATTAAATCCCATTTTGTTTGTGCGATGTTTTTCCACGATGAAAATTTGTTTTTCTCCTTGTGATGGAGATAAACTTGGCATTGGGGGACAATTTGGATCGGGTTCCAGGTGTACATAGAAAACCATTTTTGTGCCATTGGCGGCATCTGTATTCTTTTCCACTTTAATCTCTCCATCCATAAGTTTAATTAATTTACGTACTATTGCTAACCCAAGACCTAAAAAAAATAAACAAATTAAAAATTTGATGGATGCAATTTCCCGATTCTTATTAATTTTCACCTGTTCCGCCATATCGACGTGTTATGCTTGCATCGGCCTGTGAAAACTTTTCAAATAATCGAGGCAATACTTCTTCCGATATTCCTGCAATAAGAATAATAATGATGAATCGATGATAAATTATTATCCTTCAGGATTGCAACCATAAAAAACCATACCAATTCCAGTATCCGAAACCTCAATCTTTACACAAACTTTACGCTCGCCGTCTCGCATAGCATATGAAGAACCAACTTTTATGATTACATCACCATCCGCAGGCGTAAATTTACACGCATTCGACAACAAATTGACAATAATTTGTCGGAATCTCGTCATATCACCAATAACATTAACTGGTACATCTCTCTCAATCAGATAACTGATACGTGGCCTTGGGGAACAATCTCGCCCATGTCCTTGAAGCGCTACCATATCAACAGAGGTCTCGACAGCCTCTTGAACACAGAATGGAACTCGTTCCAGATGAAGATGTTCTTCTTCGTATTTCGAGAAATCCAATACGTTATTTATTATAGCAATTAACATGTCCCCGCTCTTTTTGATAATCTCTAGTAAATCCCGTATTTCTGCCATCTCTTGATTTTCTAGATCAGGCATTTCGAGTAACATCGATGTTAACGCAAATATGGCATAAAGTGGAGTACGCATTTCATGTGACATTACTATGCAAATATTAAAGATTAGCAAACATGTTCGGTTTTGCAATGAAAGAAATACAAAAATCTAATACCTGCAAGAAATTCACGATGGGCCTAACAAAAAAGAAGAAATCGTTAATTTTGCTTATCTCTAATATAAAGACAACGAGGTGCGTGACTAAAGCTAGCTGAGATACAGTTTATTGTAGAGGCGTCCTCCTGAGATAATCTTATAATTGGTTAGTGTATTTACGTTTGATACCTACCTATCTTCTCAATTAATAGCTGTCACGCTCCTTTAAAATAAAGAACCTAATCTTACCTGGATCGCAGAAGCTTCTTTTCTAGCCTGTATTAATGCCTCATTTTGTTCAGCCAATTGATGAATGCGGACCTATTTTAAATAATTGATTACTAAGTAGCCGAATTTCACTTGTTAGCTATTTCACCATAACTTACCTTATCCTGTTCAATCAGATCAGCTTGTGCCAGAGCAATTGAAATTTGTTCGGCAAGATCTTCCAAGAACGTTAGCGTGTTGTGTCCCCATTCTTCACGCGATGAAATATTTCTGCCTAATCGCTGCATTACAAGTATTCCATATTCATTATCGGAAATTGAGATGGGAACAAGAATGACCTAAAAGAATTGATCCGTAAAAAAATCGTAAGAAAAACTTTTAACATGCCACTTCGATTTCTCAACAATCACCTTTTCAACTTCGTCGTATTTTCCATCCAGATATAAATCATAAAGATCCGTGTCTTTAATTCCTAAACTTAACGCGTGACTTTCCTCCATTGCGATATTCACAGTTTCACTCTCAGGATTTAATTGCACATTGATGTCTGTATGAAATTGTTTATGTTTATCGCGAATATAGTCAGCTACACATCGCCAGCCTTCCACTCGTGCCTTTGACATAAATATTTGGCATCGATCCGCTTCAAGAATCCCACAAATTTGAGAAGCTGTATTGTGATAAATAACTTCCTTTGAAAGAGTTGCGCGTATCTATGATCATCACAATAGACATTTCTTTGTTCGAGAATTAATCGCATACGTAAGATCAGATATTGAATAGTATCATGTGACTCACCGCATGAGTCACGCGTCTAAAATTGGACATCAATTCATTTTCGTCGCGAAGGCATCTTTCCGAGATTAGACGCTCCGTGATTTCATCCTCGTATTGAGCGGCCAATAATGGTAGTTCGAGTGCTTTCGGGATAATGACCGTCAAAGCTGCAGCAGTAAATAAGGACACAAAAGCACAAACGACCTTGGTTATCGCCGAAAGCACATAAGTTTGGCGCCATGGCATCCACGCAGCAATAACATGAGTAGTTCCACAAAGGATTATAAATGCGGAGAATAATGCGAAAACGGAAGGAAATGGAAGGCGAGGTGCTATAATATATGGAATGATAATTATAGTTGATTATGTTTGTTCAAATAGAAAATAAAAATACGTACCTTTTCTCATGAAATACATCAACTGTAAGGGGATCGTATAATATGCAATAGCGATCAATGTGTCAACGACACTCATAAACATAGCAAGATTCACATCTACACAATATGCGTTTTACATGATGATTAGAGCATATTCACAAATATCTTGGCAAAGTGGTGTAGTAGACGTACTCAACGGTTGTAGACATCTTCCACCTTCCAAGGTAACCAGTTCATTATATTTTGGCCATCGATCAATACGACCATTTGTTACGAATTCGAAATAATATCCACGGCAATAATCTACGCTCGTTAATGCGACTATCAATAAAAACGCCATTAGAAAGGATTGTCATCAAAAAAGTAGATCAAAATATTTGTTTGTAAACAAATTTTTATTGAATTGAGATTAGTAATCAGTATCATCAGTGAATTACCAGTTCTTATCATCCCCAATCCCTGTAATTTTGAGAATGGTTCAGTCATCAACGTTTTTTCTCCATCCAGCACTAAAAATGTCTCCGGTAATATAAAAGTGGAATTATCCTCTCTTTTGTGAAGTTCTGTTTTTATATTATGAGCATACGAGGAAGGAGTTGTCAAGGCTGTTATCGTGGAAGTAGGTGTAGTTGGCTGCTCAGCTGCTATTGCCTCATCCGCATCTAAG